GTTAACCGGTGTGGTTTTATTTGTTTATCGTTTTTATATCGCCCAGCCTCTACTTTAACACGCCAGAAGTGTCAAAATATTGGTACTGTATTTAATTGAGTTGCCTTTAAGGCCATTTATAAAGCCAATTACACACAATTGTCAGGAACATAAAAAAAGTATTTTGTAGACCTAGACCACGCACAATTGACCTGTCATTTATTGGTAAAAAGCTTATAATCCTTATGTCTTGGAAAGGTAATGACATTAATTGGCTGCTGCAAATGCTCTGCGGTGTTGGAATTACAGCTTTTATTTTTGTTATTTGCAGTAAAATGCGTTTATTTTGTACATATGTATATGTATATATTGAATATCTTTTGAAAACGGGTTGTTCTTGCAGACCATTTTAGTTGAAATTATTTTTATCCCGTATTGATTCTTAATCGCATAGGGATTATGTGTCCTCTCTTAATTTATTAAATTAATCGCAAACTAAACAAAGGCAGGTCCGGTTAAGCCGATCAACTTACTCTGAGTTGAATAGAATTTGTAATACAATGCAAATGCTTCAATCAATTTTTAATTAAAAACTAAACGTCCATGAAATCTTGCTCTGCTAATTACAATTTGTGTGGTCGTGTATGTGAACCTAAAAGCGCATTAGTTGTGGCCCATATCCGCTTAGCAGCGAACGTCAAAGTTCTGCCGCAAACACAATCATCATCGTCAATAATATAATGATTTTGAAAATCGTAATGAGTTTGAATATCAAGCTTCTTAAGCAGGACCCTCGCATATTGGCCAAGAAAGCCGGTTCGGTTGGTGGCCAAGTCCGCTTATTGGTCGTCTGCCCAACGCTTTCACCATCTGCCAGTGTTTCTCGTTTTTGGCGGAATTGACGTCAGTTTTGTTTTAATGCTTATTAATTAAATTCATTCAAATTGACAAGGGGCGTCAGGTGGCTATAGTTCTTTCTCTTTCAGTATCCTAATGCACGGAAAAAAATAAATTTTTAGCGCAAATAAGATTTTTTTTACTCAAAATGTAAGTTGTTCACCTAAGATATGTCGTTAATGGGATATTAATTTATAAATAAGATACAATTTTATATGGAGGCTTAAGCTCTTAGTTTCTAAGCTTAAATCAAATTGGACAAAAATGTACCAGTGTATCAAAGCATTAAATACCAATTTTTGTGCTTTGTCGTGTTTTGTGATTTGCGCTTTACGGTTGCCGCTCTGCTCCTACCGTCTCCTTAGTTCTAATTGAAATAGAAAAGAATGATTAACATTTGGCGTTCAGGCAACGGCTGCTTAATGAGAGGCAACAGTCAAGATGAGTAGTTAAGTGGGAGAACGGAAACGCTCATATTTCGCTTGTAATTCATTGAAATGAGATGCACTCAACCTGAAATGCAGCGGGGCGAGGCAAGGAAGCCGATTAGCGGTTGGGTTGAAATGCGTTGGTAATTGGTCAGAAAGAGCTATGCCAACTGGAATCGTTGAGGGGCTCTGATGGGATTTTGTGGTCATTAAACTTTAGTTTCAGTTTGGCACTTAACAATGCTCCTCTAACCACCCTTTAGTGCTCAGTCAGCTTGGTTCTTCCTTTAATGTGGTTAAGTTAATGAAATTAGGATCGACCTAAGGGCTTCGGTTTTGAGGTATTTACGCGACTGGTCCCAATTTCAGGACGAAGGATGAGACCTCGTCGGGGCATAAATCAATTGTATTAATAAATTAACAGAAACGGACTTCTCCCCGTTGCAACATGACCAACACTCCCAATCAGCAGCATCCTGCCAAGTTTGTAGTATCTCAATTAATTATTTGCGTGCGGTCAATATGTGTTCGGAGTGGGCGTGTATCTGCAGCGAATATGCGGCAAGACTGCCATAATGTTGCCTGCCACATTTTAATTACACATTAATGTGTACACACCGAAACCCAAAAAGTTGTACGAGCTAACATTTTGTTCTCTGCGGTTTTATAAATGTGATAACATCAACAGTAATAAACAAAAAAACACCAGGACCGAAACACTGGGGATAAATACTCTTCCCATTAAAATATTTTATACGCATTTATGCAAAACAAATATAGTTGTTGGGTTACTTGTGTATGACTTAAATTAGCAATGTAACTTTTATAAAAATCATAATTAAACTCCGAAAAAAATTAGGCAATTTAAATAATAAAAAATAGCATAAACTTAAGGTATCAACATTTTTATAGATTTCAAACGTTATTGTTCAGATTTGACTAGGGTGTAGAATGTTTTGAATATATTTTTTACTTTTTCTGGCACCCTGGGGCTAAAAGTAGTACACTTGCGGTTCAACTAGTTAAGCGAATAAATAGAAATTACAATAAATTAAATAATTAATGTAACTTACTGTTCAACACACTGACACAAAGGGGCGAATGTGATGCGGACGAGAGGATTGTGTGTGAGCTGCATGTTAATTAATACTGGCTGGACAATACGACATGCCGACCAATTAAAATTAATACACCAATAAAGCAATTTGATCAATAAAGACACCGCGTCAGCCGCACGCCAAACAATGAGCACATATTTGTTATCCTGCGGTTAGGATGCAAGCTCTGTTATGGTTTTGACATGGAATTTGGAATCAATAAGCGTTTCACGGAAGGCATCTGGAATATGCCACCTATGCGGCGCTCAAAATTCAGCAATACAAACATTTTTCCCCTTTGGCTAAGAACGGAGTAAGGGACAAGTCTGTACTCCATATTCCGAATTGTTGAGGTGAAATACACATGCCTGCATACAAATGCTGAGCACTTAATTATTTTTTAGCACACTTTTTTAATTTTTTTTTTTTGGTCAGATTCGCACCAAATAGTTTTGATGGTTGCTGAATATGTTTGAATTTATATATTTCTCCCTTTAGATGTTTTTTTTTAAGTTTTGGGGCGCTCTCTTCTGTTTGTTTGCATTGGTAATGAGTTTACTTTGGCTGTAAGTTGCGCAAACAGACCGCCGGCTCACCTCGCTCTGGCTTCATGTGGTTCGCTGTGGCAAAGGACGGTGCAGGCAGCGGTGCACCACCCACAAAATGGTTGTCGGGGGAAACTTGTGCATTAAACTTTCGTTTTATTGTAAACTACTGTCAACAAAAGTCTTTGTGTGTGCGTGCGTGAGCTTGCCACATGTGTTTTAGTTTTTTTGGTTCTTTCTGCAAATTGCTTTGCGGACTCCCTCTCTAACTTTGAAAAATATAAAAATTTTAATTAGTATTAAAAAATAAAACGATGTGCAAATATGATGCCAGCACGACTGTCCAGGGCGCAAAGTGTTTTACCAACAACACTTTTAAAGCCGGCCATTAGGGTCAGCAACATTTTTGTGACTCACAACAAATAAAATAAATCAACGCTGCCGGGCTGAGGTTGTTTGCCTTATCAGAGGAGTTTCACTTTGTGTGCGGGGGCTTAACAAAAATGCCATCGCGATAAACTTGGTCAGGTGCTGAGCTGGCTTTATTCCGATAGCGCGATAAGCATCTGGCGCCGGCACATAAATTACATTACAAAGAAGCAACAGCAATCTGCATCTATTTGAAGTTGGCCGGCCTTTATGCGGATATCAATTCATTGAATGATGCTTGATTCAATGAAATTAGCTACCGACGACTGTGCCGACAATTCATCGCTAAGTAAACAATTACCAGGACTTGCGAACTCAAAGAACTTCAAACAGCTTAGCAAAAAAATATGTTAGAGGCGCTGTTTACCAGTGGGTACTATAAAACAAAATCCGCCGCTAAGTAACCATACTTATGGCGTCACAGCTTTTGTCCAACAGTGGCCTGTTTCTAAATTTACCGATTATGAAAAAACATTTTCATGAAAACATCGCAGAGATAATATCGAAACAAGACAGTTAAATTAGCACAGTTTGTTTATATAGATTCCGCTAATATTAACTTAGTATATCCTTGATAATAATGGTAGAGAAACATAACGTTTTATTTTAAAAAGTTAATACAAAATACAATGAGCTTTTTACCAATTACATTAAATTGGTATTCAGCGTTCCTATGTTTTAAGACACTGTTATAAGGCACGCTTTTTTTCATCTCACCTGAGCCAAATTCACCAATAGTTCCTAATTTTGTGGTGGTTGTTGTTTTTATTTTTCTTTGCCTTGAATATGTTTGCGAGACCAAAACATTTTAAGCAAATTAAAAAATAACATTATTATTCTTACAATATCCTGCTTTTAGGACGGGGGGCTACTCTGTTTATTTATCGTCAGAATTTGAAGAAAAGCAATTTGAATGTGTACTTAAAAAAATGTTTTTACATCCGCTAGTTGAACTGTTATCCACAACGCCAAATGTCATATAAATTCGGTGACATATATAGAGAACCGATTCTTTTAGGAATGCAGGGAAAATGTTTGCACTGATAAAAATAAAGCATATTTTTTAAAAGCTGACTAATTAAACGGAATAACACATCTTTTTTTCGTCAGTGTAAAACCTTGAAATGGCGGGCGGCGTCAAGGTATTTATCACGGACTTTGGAGAGGGATACGTGGCTTGACTTCCGCACACCTGGAATGTTGACTGTCATTTTCATTTCGGTTTTCAATCGATTTATTTTGAGCCCGACCACAGGCCATTCCGCTCGCCCATGCTCTCATTCACACATTTACTGACACGGACACTCAAAGGCAATATTGGTCAGATTTTTGACAGCTCAAATTGAATTTGCCTTTTGCTGCTGCCTTTTTGGCTGCTATACAAAAAGAGAAATGTTTGCTTGACCGCCTCGAAAGCTGAGGGAATTCCGGAGGGTCGCAGGGCAAGTGTGGGTAGATACGGGTGTGTCAGCCTGTCAAGGTGTAAACACATTTGGCTTTTGTTTGTTGCCACCCGAAAAGACACGACAATTTGTCTCACTTTTTTGATCGATTGTTAAGATTACCCCCTTTGTCAAGCCGCAGACCGTAGTTTGTATCATAAAGCTGAACTTAAGAAATCTGTTCCAAATAGTTTTTTATCAAGGATCAGTGCTTTATTGTACTTTTATTATTTTAATCATCACGAATTCTAGGACTGTATTTATGAAACATATCATTTAATATCCACGGTATAGTTTCTGTAGGTTCCGGAGCGCAAACAGTACTCCGACCAGAAATTGGAAGAGCTAAAAGGTTGCTTAAAATGCAACGCGAATCGGGCCATCAGTTGTTTTGCGAGACTTCTAACCTGTTCCGCTTCCAACAAGAATTGTGGATGTGCGGAGGCAAAGCGGCACAAACGGTACACAGCTTCAACGGCCCCAAAGTTGCGTACTAAGAGTAATTCACTGAGCGCCAGTTCCTGCAGTTCTTGAAAGGCACGTAAGGCGGATGGGAAGTCCCGATTTCGAAGGGTCAAGCTGCTTCGCAGGGCATTGATCTCCTTTATAAACCTTACCTCTACGCTTAAAGACTCGACCTCCATTCGCACCTGCCTTACGTACTTGAGCCCCCAGTTTGCCTGCCTAGGTACCTGAAAGGGGCTTCTTGCCCCCCGAGGTAATAGCTCAAGAGGCGAGACCAGTTGCCATCCTGCGCCTTCAGATCTAATATCCACGTCGCCAGATTGAAGCTTCTCGGCAATGCAAATGGCTTCGCGAAATTCCTCGTACTCCATATTGTCGTGTGTGATAAATCGCTCCTTACTGTGATCATCGTATGGCCAGATTTTTTCGTAAGGAATACTTTTGCTGTCATTTGTGCACATAAACAACACCTCTCCAGCGCGGGGTAGTTTCTTCGTAAGAATTCCTGGCCACGGAACGTAGCCCGTTGCCTGGGCGAACACAAGGTCGCGCTCGCAAAAGGAATCTGGCGTATGAAAGAGCGAACTTTAATGAAAATATTTCCTCAAACTAGATACTTTAGAAAATGCAGATATTAACCAAACAAGGTAATTAACAAAGCTCTGAGAGACTACATTTTATAATTAATTTCTTTCTGCAATAAGGGACATATTAAAATATTTGTAAAATCCTGCATATCAATAAATAAATAAACAGTTTCTGATGGACTCCGCAAGTTGAAGTTGGGCCACATGCTGGGCAAATAGCCGAACAACATGTTAGCCAGCAAAAATGTCTTCTTGTGATTAGATTTATGTTTATAAAGTCGCCATCATTTGCTTTCGATTACCGAGGTAATAATAAGACATCGTTACATTTAAATAATGACCAAGTCGGCGTCGGTTGGAGGTTATGAAAATTCAATTATAACCCAGCAGCATGCTGATGGTCCCAGTCCTGCGCAGTGGAGTCTCAACCAGTACTCCTTACTGAAGACAGCGGCACATAAAACACGTGGCAAGATTAATTGTGGCCGGCTGTCGTACATTACAACGCGTATACGCCGTGTCGTACATGTGTAAATAAGCACAATGTTGCTACCGACTGCAGGGTGTCCTTATGCGACTGCTTTTTTGGTCATCATATTTAATTCAAGCATAAATTTGTGCACGCATATTAAAAAGGACGTGGCAACGAAGAAGTAAAAAAAATTAATACGTTTCGGTTAATTTATGTGGGTTGCGTGGGGTGGGCATGAAAAATAACCCAAGCTGGACGCCAACCAATGAGCCACAAACGACCGTGACTGTCTCTACTCTTGCTGATGATTACGATGACGAGAATTGGAGTGGCCAGAAAGCAGGATGGAGATGAGGACGATGGCGGCGGCTTTTGTCCCATCACCCTTTTGGCCCGGTCGTGGGTCTGGCCTTCTGCTTCTCCCAGCGCCATTTGAATGCCTTTTGTTAGCGCAGTGTTCGCGGTAATTACGCTGGGCTTGAGGGAGTGGGTGTATTGGATAGCTTCCATCGGCCCAACTTTGTCTCGCACCCTTAGAGCCGCGATGCAGGTTTTAATTTGTTATAATTTTTGCCACGGATTAACCACGGTTTTGGTTAATTAGCTTGGCAAGATTATTATAATCTGATGTGGTACTGACTATTAGCTACATTCTGCTTTTACCTTTACATATTAAAGTCGATAAATTAAAGCGCCTAAGCTTAATAAGCAAGGACTATCCCTTAAAAAAAACGGCCTAATTTCTTTTTAAAACAATTTTATGTTTTAAAACATTTTTATGATAATTCATCATTGATAAATTTGTATAAAAGGTACGGAAAAAAAACCAGGCCTTTTAAGTGATTACTTTCATTCATTTCATTTAATTTTTGAATCTTTACAATTACCATTAGAAAATTACACACTAAGTTTACGGGTTTTGATAGTCAAGCTTTTCTTTACTGGAAAGCCACTTACCAAATATTGATTTTTCCATGCTTTCTGCGATCAGCTTCGGATTGATTCACTTATGCAACTGAGCTGATGATAAGAGTTGAGTTAAAATATTTTTCCTAGTAATAACAACTTTTTCAAAGCCTGCTGGCTTAACAATAATAAAGAGCTCAAGTATAATAAGCATTTGTATACAAAACTCTTTGTTTATATTGACTTGATACCCGTATGTGAAATAAAAAAAATGCTGAGACTAGCGACGTCGGCAATCAGCATAAATGTTTCACCATGTATTTTCTGGACACCAACCCCAATCTCTTTAAAGTCAACACAGATCTGCCCAACACGCCACTTTCGATTTGGTTCTTTTAGCTAATAAACTAAACCATCAACAGCAACACAACACCCAATGAACTTTACCCAACGGCAACAGTAACAAATGCGAAGAGTGAAAAAGCAACTTCCACATTTATATCATCAACTGTTTCGAATAACGAAACTACATAAATCAATGTCAAAGGGAAGGCTTACAAGATGTCGCAATAGTTTTGCAGATATTCTTGCCCCGCAAGGCCAGAAAAACTAAAAACTTTTTTTTTTGATTTGGAATAGTGCAATTATACATCGAGATCAGTGTTATTATTTCTATTTACTTAAAAAAAACAAATACAAATTTAGAAATGTTTAGTTTATGCTTATACATTCTGGAAAATACTTGTGTACGAAGGATTTTGTCAAAAGCTGAAACCACAGTATTCACATCCTCACCCATGATTGGAATAAGATGGAAAGCTCCTGCCCACTTTTCACCGCCCGCCCACCTAAATGCACTGTGCACAGTTTGAGTACTGTGGGCCTGTACTTGGACGTCATCATTGACAACTGATGAATTGAGTGGGGGTCAATGAAAGGGATGTGGCTGGTGGCTGGATGCACCGCAAGTGGCGCAGCATCCTCATGGAAACGGCCATGTTCATGTTCAATTAGTGAAACGGCATTGCACTTTGTTCATATAAAATGCCTGCGAGTCTAATTAATTACTGCACGATGTCAAAACCAGCAGCATTTGAGCCAATCCCGATCATGTCAGAATTAGACCCGTGGCTGTCATCTTGCCTCGCCTCCGATTTGAATGGCGGTTTCTAGCACTGCAACACGATATGAGAACATTTGAACACAAAAATATGTATGTGCATGCACATGCACATACAATTATCAGAACAACTTTTTTAGGTGCCTATTAATTTTTTTAATTCCAATATTATGAAATACACCGTTGTATGTTGTATAAATGTTTTAAATTTACCTCAATATGTGGGCAGTTTTACGAAATAAATTATTATTTTGTTTTGTTTACTGCAGAAAAAGAAGGTAAAATTTCATTAATAAAAATTTTCTTTTTGTTCAGGGGTAGAAGCGATTGAATGTGAAAGAATAGATTAAATATATAATCGCATGTATATAGCAGCCATCGCTATAACAGGGAAACTCTGAAAAGGTAGAAAATTGTTGATGCTATTTGCATGTTGAATTACATTCATTGTTGATGTTGGCGTGCGTTAGGTATGTTTGCCATCCCCTGCACTCCTTGTATCTTTTGAGTTTCGCGATTGACAACCCCATCGCAGTATCCTGTCATATTGCATGTGGTTGATTTTCATTCTGGTGTGCCTCGCGAATTTTTTACAGCTTTGAGTGACATTAACAATACAGCCAATTGGCAAGTATTGTATAAAATATTCAGTTATGCCAACAAAAGGAAACTAAATATTTACTCTGGTCTACCAACTAAATGTTATTCTGCAGCTAGTTGTATTGTGATATGCCTATAAAATCATCTTGTCTTTTTTTTCAAACAAGCAACTTTCCAAAATATAAATTAGATGTAACTTAAGTAAGAAACAAGAAAAGAAGAAAAGTTTGGCAACCTGATTCCCATCTTAAGCCTAAGTCTATTAAATGGAATGATGTTTCCTATGGCAGACAACGTATTCTATATTTTAATGAAGATATAGACCTATATACATATATATATATAAATATACAGGCAGAAAGAAAAAGTAAACGTTTAAAAAAAAATAAAACAAAAATAATGGTCACCCCTGTGTTGCATATACCGATTTTAATTTGATTATTTAACAAATTGCCTTTACCCTTTTTCCTTATCGTGGATTAGTGTTTTGACCCACTTACATGTTATTTCTAAATTTAAGATTGGTCGGCGAAAGCGAAAATTGCCTACTGTATCCTGATTTTAGGTTCAAAGCATCTAAGAGTTTGGGGTTTAGATTTTTAACTAAATTATTTTCCTATTTTTATTTCGGATATTTCAAAATATTCTGTGTGTTGCAGAAAGCTGGCCCAAAACTGCACTTTCAGAAAACATAAACAATAAACTATCCGCCATCACATCCAATTTTCAAAGAGGTAAATCTCTAAGAGTTTGTGATTCGATTGTTAAACAAACTGCATTCCATCCTTTTTCCTTTGCAGAGGACTTTTTCTATCTTCATATAATGTTTTTTCCACGTTGGTCCCATTTTTTACAAAAACTTGATTCAAAAGAGCCATTCCAAGGCTCATAACTTGATAAATTGCATCCCCATTTTATCACATCATTGTCATAGTTTATCGAGCTATTTAATTTAGGGCTCAGCCCAGAAGGCAAGAAGCCGCCAAATAAACGGAATCAGCAAAATGGTCTTGTCTGCTTCCATGGCCGGTTAAATCCATTTACCAAAAAGCATTACAGGGATTTAATTTAAAAGTTTGCCACACTTGGCTTACTGAAACAGCTGCAGGGGAGAAGGATGTGGAGGAGATGGGCAATTAAAGCACATGCAGCGAATTACAATTTTTAACTTAATAAAGAAAACGATTCGGTGAATGAATTGAAGTTAAGTGAATTGCTCTTTGCTCCGAGTACCTTCTCCATACTCTACATTTGGTGAAAAGATTTTTCAGATTTCCGGTCTTATGCACACACTTATTCGTAGTCTTTTATTTAAAAGAACAAATTTGTATTTATATGCAGTCATTGAATTTAAAAAATGTATTTTTTTAAACTGCCATACTAGATATAGTGTGTTACGAAAATGTTAAATTTTAAAGTGAAGCTGAAGAAAAATCTGCTTATGTTGCTGTAGTGGTAGAACTCTTAAAAGTTCGGGGCATGCAGCACATTAATTAGAAGCTGCCAGGCTCTGCAGACACATACTCTACCTAAAAAAGTTGCCAACGTACAACTGGCTCGGGAGCTAGGGATCCAAAAAAAAGTTTTTCGGTTTACGTTGCGTTGGAGTTTACCTTGCAGTCAAAGTTGATTTTTGCGTTCACATGCTTACACTGAAGAAATTGATTAATTATTAATGCAATTGAAGTTAACTAAACAATTATTGTATAATGTTGCCCACACACTTTAAATTCAGCATGTTAAACTTTTTTGAAGAGATGTGCTTATTTACAAAAGCAATCAAACATCGGCTAGTGAACAAGATCAAATGTATATTCCATTTATTCCTTTATGTGCACCCATTTTGTTGTAAGTTGCTTCAAAACGTTGCTTTTAATTAGAACATGCGTCAGGCACTTAAAGTAGCCATAGCTGGATAAATTAAGTTCCGACGCCGCTGTACGGAGTTGCTGGCGGATTCGCGATAAATGCATTCTGCCAGCCAGCATCATTAGCCGTCTGTAGTTGTTAACTTTTAAACGTAACATTTAATTTTAGTTGAAAGGGTGAAATGAAAAAGTGAAAATCACATAAAGAGCTGTGTGAATGGTGAAGGAGGGAAAGGCAGTGAGTGCAAGGGTCTATGGTGGCCAGTTATAAAAAATATAATCTTCACGCACGTAATTCAAATGTGGCGGGTGGGCGTGTTTCGGTTGCGTCTCATTTAGCGCACGTAACCAAATAATGACCGAAATGATGCTTCTCACTGATGGCCAACACGACGTATACATAATGTTGCAGGGGCAGCGGTGGGAGTAAAATGGAGAAATAAGTAAACTGCGTGCGTTTTGTAAATAAAATAAAGTGTAACGTAACGAAGCGAAATGTTTTATCAACGTGCCGGGGCGCACTAAACAGGAGCTACACTAAGCGAAATAACATAAAATTATTATACATACATCTAATTTTTATTTGACTCTCCGTTTTTATGTTTTTTTATGTACGCATATTGGTTTAAATTAAAAAGTATGATAAGTTCAAAAACAAATGTGCAAAAACAACTATAGCCATTTATTTTTATTTCCTGAAAAGTAAGAATAAATCCCTATAGAGGAACGCATAAAAATAGTTACTTAAAGAGTCCTTCGCCAGTTGAGTGATTTCTTAACCATTCGGAATTTTTTCTGAGTATACAGGGGTGTACGGTCCGCCCCTTGATTTCAACCACTGACAGATGGCCGCTGACCAAAACGGCGGCTGCGGTGTGGCTCTAGGCTTCGCCTTGAATCGGGCTTTGTCTCCCTCGCTGATTACCGCTTTTGGACCGTGTGATACTTGTTTTTGTAATTGTTTTGCTTTGTCGTAAATGGAGAGCGAAACAGGAAGATAGATTGCAATTGCTACAGGCCATTACCAGAGTTGAATGAGGGGAGGCGTACAAATTTCTTGTCATTAAATTAAAAATAAACGACAATATTTTATGCCCCTATAAATATGTAGCAAAGCACAAAGCGTTTGTCTCCCAAACGGAAAAGGCAGCAGATGTTATTTATTTATGCGGATCCTGGTTTAAGGTACATGTTTTAATGTCGTCTTTATGCAGGACTTAGGCTTCAAGTACGTCTTTTGCACAGGTGCGTGTCCGGAAAAAGAGGAAAAGGGTAATATTTTCTTAAGTCGGACAAAACATATTCATATTTCTGGGATCGAAACCAGCATGCTAGGTGGTAGTAAATCAACATTAGCATTTGGCAGAAAAGCTTAGAAATTGACAGGCTGCCGATTATTATTATTTTCCAGGAGACCATTTTCCAAAATCAATTTTTCTCATACTTTCACAAAAACACACTTGTTAAAATAATCTTAGCAAGCAACAAAAAATTAATCCTAAGAACCCCGGTTAATCTAGTTCTTTTAAATCAGCTCTATGCAAATGGAATTTAAAATAGAATAGTATATTTATTTTCAAGGGCTCGTACAGTTCAGTCTTAAGCCTACTCCGTTGGCATCGGCACTGTCAGGTGTTTGCGCTATTTCCAGCTTGGTGTGCTGGAACGGCTTCTCCTCCGGCTCCAGTTCTCGCTGCGATTCTTTGTACTCGTTCCACGTCTGGGTCGTGGCCGTTCCCCAAACCAAGAAGATCACATTCCCGGCAAAGAGTATTCCGGCTGCCAGGCTGAAGACCACCTGCCATTGTCCTCGCTGACTGGTGTCCGTGACCAAAACGCCCACTACGAGGGGCGTCAGCAAGGCCATTAGATTGGTAAAGCTGCTCATGAGGCCGGCTAGAATCCCGGCATGGTTTGGCGATAAATCAATCGTGTTTAGCTCGCTGCCAATCGTGGCCGCACTGCTCACGCCCACACTAAGAGTTACTAACACTAGGACCAAGGTCTTCTGCCCTTCTCCCACGAACACGAGCGCCAGCATTATGGAAGCCGGTGCCCAAAGGGCTATGCTCGTGTAAGTCTTTCTTAGCGCTGTCAAGCTCATCCACTTTTTTTGGAGAACAACGTCTGCAATAACGAGATAAACGTAGCACATGATCCACATGAGCAGAAAGGGAAGCGCCGAAAAGAGCGCATTGCTTTTCAAATCCAGGGCCAAGACGCCGCTTAAGTAGGCAGGTAGCTCGGTTTGCATTGTGGTCAAGCCCCAACTGTCAGCACACCGAGCGCAGAGTAGGGCGTAGACTGGGACTGAGGTGAAAATTCCCCTCCAGGGGATCTCCATTTTCTTGGGCTCCTTCCTTTCCGATCGTTGAAGATCCTCCATGATGAAGACCTTTTCCGCGTCGCCAATGAATCTTGCTTCGCTCGCCCTATTGGCCGCCAGAAGCAGCCAAAGGACGCACCAAACCAGGCCGAAGCCTGCCGCGGAGTAACTAATGCCGGGCCACCCCATCGATGAACTGGCTATCTGCCCCGCCCCGTACATGGCCAACACATTTCCGCAATCAAAGCCCGTGTAGGCAAACGCTCCCAGACGGGTTCGCTCCGCCGTGGGGCACCAGTTGGCCAAATGCTGGTGGATGCACGGCCAGGTCACCTGGCACAGACCCTGCAGCAGACGAATGACACAGTACGCCTTCCAGCCCGCTGCATACACCCCGTAGGTGGTAAGGGCACTGAGCAGGGAAGATCCCAAGGTGCCCCAGAAAAGGACCGCCTTAGAGCCGAAGCGCTTGCACAGATAGCCGGCGGGGAACTGGGCCAGGGCGCAGCCCCAGTAGTAGCTCGACAGGACGTAAGACTTCTCCACCTCCGACCAGTTGTAGTGCTAAAAAGGGTTGACGAGAAAAGAGGTAAGCTGGGTGCTTGCAGCTGATTTTTCGCTTACCCACGGGCGTGTCGCCATCGCTCGATTTGGTTCCGTTGGTCATTGCCACAACTGCCACGCCCACGTTCAGTTGCAGGACTGTGTTAGCCGCCAGACCATAGAAGAGGAGACCCGCCTGCAGATGTCGCAGCCCCAGGCGTGGCACTTTTAAACAAAAGAACATGAAGAGGTTGTGAAACATATATAGTTTAGTCTTACGTTTTGCAGGAATTTCCTCCATGTTAGTAATTCCTTTAATTTGAAGCACCGTCGGTTTTATTGGTCATCTATGGGTTCTGTAATTTAGGTTGTGTGCACTCAGATTAACGTACTAAAATTAATAAGTATTATTATTTGTAATATCATTAATATTTGCATAATGAAGGAAACTAAATAAAACATTATAAGAGTCAGTCTGCAAAAAACTTAAAAAATTACACTTGAATAAAAATTTCAATGACCAAAAACACTTTGCAACTGATATAATCAGATTGACGAGGAATACAACCCATCGAACATGTGAGATATTCGCTTTCAAATCTGACCAAGCTCAGCATTTGTCCAACTGCAATTCCAGAGAAGCTGTTATTGCTCTCAGCCTGGGCAAACACAAACACTCCACAGGTCCCTCACTGCCCTTAGTCGGATATTGCCGCCATTCAATTCCATTGTTTGTTATTTTAGATATTTTTCGGGTTTGTTGTTTTTCAGATTTTTTGCTGTCTGCCTTTTTCTTGTTTGGCAATCTGCCTGAGCTCGAGTCCCGTTCCCAGTTAGTGTGCAAATTTCCACGATAATACGCAACGGAAAAACACAAACGTACAAAAACTGAATTTAAATCTCTGCATTTACAATTGTATCAGTACAGCTAACAAGATACCTTTCAGTGCCACCCACATACACTCCCACACTGTTTTTCAATTGTTCTAATAGTTGGCAACGTGTGGACGACTGCCAATCGTCAAAGTTGGGTGGTCGCCTGACTATGGGAGGTGGGTGGTGGTGCCGATAATGCCGCTCAAAAAAATAAATAACATTGACATAGATGCAAAATTCAAAGAATACATTCGAACACAATATTTCCTACAATAAAAAAGGTTGTTAACTTTTTTATAAGAAATAAATAAACAATTTTTGTTAAAGTTCGGTTTAAGAAATCATATATTCGCTTGTTAATATTCCAATGCCTTCTGACTTTTTGTTTGAATAATAACCGTTTTGAACTGATTTCGTTATTGTCAATGATTTAGATAGTTCATATTCTCTAAGCTCAGAACGAAAGACTCAAATGATAAATATCCACTTTAAACACAGTTGTTTTTTAGTTTTAAATTTAATTTAAATTCAGGAGAAATCAAAATTTAGGTATGTATTTGCTTTTTGTATGCATTTAATCTGACGAATTAAAGAGCTGCGTGGAAATTTTTAAAAATAATGTTGACCCCTTTTACCACTCTAGGTAGATATGTCTAGGTGTCTAATAAAGACATACACAAACACATTTATTATCAATTTGGTTCGTCGCCTAGTGATAAAAAAAAGTAAAAATACATTTTGGAATGCCTTAGACAATGTGGGATCTAATGAAAAAGTTTTGCTATCTGTTGTTTTATTACTATGTATGAAATGCCAACACCTAAAATATAAAAATATTCATACACGAAACACGCGTCGTTATAAGCAATATAAAGCTTATTTGTCGGAATAAGATACGATATTCCCTCAAATTTAGTGGGTAACGGGTACAATAACAAAAACGATTTATTCAATGCGTATATGTCCTTGTGGGTGTATTTAGATTTCATTCTGTTTGACAATTCTTTTAAACCCACTTTAAAAATGCTTGCGATCTATTCTTTTTCTTTAATTTTATTAAATTATTTAAAGCCGACTGCATTTTGGTGGTGACATTTTTCGTTGGTCTGTTCCAATGTATATTTCACATGAGTTTATAAAATAGGTATATGCAAACACTTTACATTTTTCTTTAGCTATTTTCGTTCAAGTAGTATCAGACAAATATGCAAGAATTTACTGCCGGTATTTTCAGAGATCCACCACATTGTTGCACTATAATTAAACTATATATTCACTTGTTAACCGAACCTTTTTATTGTTGAGCACGTTTTTTGTCTATTAATATCTGATTTTAATTGGGGTTTGTTTTGCTATGTTGTTCGACCCGTTCTCCGCGTGCTAATTGTGCGTCTATTTCGATTCTGTTTTCTATATAGTTATCCGATCGCAGTTTGTTTAGCCCCCAACGCCAAACTGCTCCCGCTAGCGATTGGCGCTCACTATTCGTTTCACTGCTTACCCGTCGCAACGAACAGAGAGAGCCTACGCAAATGAAAATAAAACTCTCATCCGAAGGGCATAAAAGAAATTTGACTTTTTTTGTGTTCTATTAACTTGACAACATTTGTTTTTTTAAATGTGAATCGTATTTTTCTCGTATAAAATTGTGCTTGAAATTACCCAATTGAAGAACGAATCGCAGGGTCCCCCTTAATGTTTTTTATGAGGCTTTAATTTTAAAAATATTTCTACAGTTTTAGATATCTGCACGTGACGGGATCAAAAACTACCTCACATGGTAAAGTCTTAATATACATTTAAAAGATCAACATGTGCGAAACGAAAATAAAGAAAAGGTTGATGTCACAACTAAAATTAGTGATCGCCTTATATGTAAAATTTAATCACCAGTATGTTTTTGTTACCGTTTAGAAACGGTGAGGCAGCAGCCCACGGCTTAAAATATTATTTATGAAGCGTCTAAGAATAAATCTTAAATTAATTCTTGTTGAGGGGGACAAGTAGAATTCAAAATAAACAAGGCGCGCAAGCTGATTTAACCGGTTAACTGTCCCACTCAGTGGGTAAAGAGAGAGTCGGGGAACTAAAAGAAATCGCACTAACGCGTGCAAGCATAGACACCAACCATCGATCGTTGTACTTAACATTCCTGTTAAAAAAACGTATTACTTAACATTCTGTTAAAATAATCGGTCCATCCGAGACAGTAACCATAGTTTTCGGGGATGGTGACAAAATCTTCGAGGGGTGGAGAAACATTAACATAGACACCAACCATCGATCGTTGTACTTAACATTCCTGTTAAAAAAACGTACTACTTAACATTCTGTTAAAATAATCTGTCCATCCGAGACAGTAACCATAGTTATCGCGGATGGTGACAAAATCTTCGAGGGGTGGAGAAACATTAATGTTTTAAAAAATCTGTCAGCATTAATCGATGTCTTATCGATATTTACCCACCCCTAGTCTTTTTGCGATCATTTGTTTTTGTAGCTCGAGTTAAACATTTGATCGTAGCGGTAAATGCAAGTGCAATGAAGTTTGATTTAACAAAATAGTCGGCGAGCGAATGCTTTACTATCTCGTGAGTTCTGTTTCTAGAAGTAAACAAATTAATTACAACTGCCTTTCGCGCGTTAAACGGTCTTCAAGAAAGGGACAAAAGGAGGTGCGCGAACAAAGCTCTTGCCGCCAAACGCGCAGCTGACGAGTTGGTGGAAATAAACGTGCGCAATAATCGCCGGGTAATACATTGTTTGATTTGCGTTTCATGTCACTGGAAATTAAAGTGACGCCGTGAGCCCAGTTTCAGTTTGACATTCGGAAACTACTCTCTATTTTACTTCGTTTGGGTCCCGTTTCGTTAGTGTTAGCTTTTCGTGTCCTGCGTTCCTTTGTTCCTTGACGTGTGTTCGTGGTTTCGGTGGTGCGATCACCGGGAGTGGATTAGGAATCCGCTGGTGGGTCGATTGGAAATGCAAACCGATGATGCGGTGTGCTTTTTGCCAACTTTAAATTTTAATGAAAAAGGCAGTACAGTAGTCGCTAGCTATGTGAAACAGTCTTCTTGCTTGACAAATAAAAAATAAATGTTGTGTACTAATTTGATTTAGATTTAAATTGTCAAAGATTTAAAGTTGGCAAAAAGTAAAAAGTGTTCCATTGTAAAAACCGTTGTGATTTATTTAGTGAATATATATTTTGTTCGGACACGCACCCCGCGTCCTTCTAAAAAGTGTCAAAATTATCAGTGTGCAAAACGATAGAGAAAAATCCAAAATTGTTATATACGTTTTAAGTTGGATTAAAAATTAAACGGATACCCACAAGAAAGTCAAGAACACACGTTGCTGCCTTCTACTTGTTGATTTGTAAGTCGATTTTTTATGCCATGCTGCCTGCTTCATTTTTCAATACTAAATTTTAACAATCTTAATACAGTTTTACTATTTCTGCATTTTACTGTTCTCTGACTGCTTCCCAATTTGAGAACAGCGATCATTTTACCTGCAGCCCACGCAATCTTTTTTCAACTCACTCTCTGTCTCTTCCTCACTGTCTTTTACTCATTGTTCGTGATTACGCATTGTTGTTTTACGATTTCTGACAAGCCGTCAGAAACAACTTTTTCCACCCTTTTGGTGTCGGAAATATGGATTCTCAACTGCATACGTAAGCAATTTCACCATCAAAATACTTTTTATTAGTGGCGATTTTTGCTTTTATGTTAAAAATTGATCTATGTATGCATCGCTACTTCTTTTGCATACTTTTGCTGACTCATTGGCGTGCTCAAAGTAATTTCATCATTTGTATAGATTTGATCCTCTTTGCACCATGCAATCGTTTTTTCTGGTATGCTTCGCTTCACTTCGCTATGGTTTTGACCATTACACTTGACTTTGACCACTTTACTTCATGTTTGTAGGATTTTCATTAAGTTGACATTCATGAGCTTTGTTTTTGGTTCCCCAGGTCAACTAAATGTTAGGAACTAGAGCTCTTTTGATAAAGCAGCAAAATTGAAAAAAAAATAAGGTTATGCAGATATAAGTTTTAGGAGACGAATATAAACTCTTTCGCTATCGAAGTGTTGAGTTGTCTCTTCACATGTTGTTGAACTGCTAATTGGTTCTAGCAACTGGAAATTTTGTCTTAATTTTTTTCGTCAGGCTGCCGCTTTATTCCACCTACCCACTTGCACTCAAATTGCACTCTGCGAGTCGTATTCATTTTAAAATAAAAGTCAACGCGAATATGCACATGGATCCAGTGACCAGTATTGTACAACTAGCGCCGTTATTTTAGACACAAACGAGTCATTTAACAGTGTTTGGGCAGGCGGCGGGCTGTGCAGGGCGACGCGACGTAGAGTCGAGTGTAATTTGCAAACAAAAAGCCATTAAAATATCAAATTAGCGTCTGGCTTTGGCTCCGAGTGCGGGATTTAGTGGAAGTCTCCAATTGTTGTCGTTCGTGCCCGCCACGCCTTCTCTTCGCCTTCCTCCGGGAGCCACCGCCTTTGCATTTGTTTGTATTATCGTATCGCATTTTGCGAAATCGAAAGTAACTGAAATGTAGCACCCGCATGTATGAGCTGCGTTCCGTCATCAATTTGTTGATTAACAGTTGTCAGTTTTGAGGGGGTAACCTCTTGCCTGCCGCGCAGTCTTCTCCCTTTAATTATTCTAACTTCGATAAAAGTGGCGTCAATTATCAAGAAAACGGGAAACTGTTTTCACCTTAGAAAGCTTACTAGTACATATATATATTTCTTATTACTTTTATAGTAATTATGTATCCCCTTGTAATTAAGGGCTATCCACTTAATTCACAGCTTGCTGATAGAATATTATTGATTTGTGAAGTATGAACGCAAGCTCCAATTGTATTGAAATTTTTTCTGTGGATATGATTTGCAGGCAAAGTGGTCTGATTTCAGATAACCAAATTTACTCGCCGCGTTAAACTCCATTTGTTTCACTGCCAAGGCTGAATGCGTGCCGCGATACAAACCGATTAAAAACAAAACAGAACCAAAAGCTGAAACACGTTTTACCTGTACTGCAATGCAAACTGAGTCACTGGGTTGAAAGAACTTCGTTGGGGATGATGCCAGTACAAAATGGTTATTCGAAAAATACAAAAAAAACTCCGGCAGCGGTAATCAAACCATCAAGAGAATATTTATGACGGTCACACAGACCCCTTGCAAACTGCGTCGAGAATAAAGCTCAACTGGAAGCTATCTCGATCATTGGATCATGTCGCTCTGGCGGACAGAAACGTCTCCCTGCTCCATATTTGGACAAGCTGCCGTCTCCCTTTCGCCCATGCGAAAACTTCTGGGGCCACGCTTGCGCGTTTTGTCTTGGTTTTCGTTTCTTTTTGGTCTTGGGTTTGTGTTGTTGAACGCGTCCCTCCCCTACTCGTAGTTATACCCAAACGCGTTTTATAAATTATAAAGTTGAATGCCCAGTTTCGAAAATTGAACGAGCCTGACCTTGAGCACAAATTTTCGGAGCTTCGGGTCTCGCTCTCGTGTTCAAGTGTTTGCGTTTGTATCTGCGCATACATATGATGTTGATACCCTTGTTTACAGAGAGTATACGAAACTAGAGAAAGAGCTTGCTTATCAACTCGCTGTTTTAAGACTACATTTTCTATACCCTTCAGTGGTTACTTACATCAAGATCACCTTCCAAATCAATATAGGCACTTCAGGCTGTCCGACGGCCGGTTTAAGGTCTGTTTTTACGCAAACTGGTCTCTAATTTCCAAAGCTTCGTCGCTGAAACTACCGAAAGACTTGTTGGTACGGTCGCAACATTCGGGATCGGACGAATATATCATATAGGTGTCAAAAGAAATATCGGAATAAAAACAGAATATTAAGAGAAAACAACAATTTGGCCTGGGAATTTTTAAAAGTATATTATACAGTTTGCACTGGAACCACTGATCAAATTAATGAAAATAATAAAGAAAAATTACTCATAGTTATAAAAAATTGCAAGGCATACAAATTTATTAAGATCATATAGCTGCCAATGTTAACCTGAAAAAATTAACCGAAAATCGACATTATTTCGGTTTAACACATCGAATTTTAAAAATTACTATACAGCTACAAAATGTGTGTTATACTGTGCTTCTTTCAATGTTTTGAGTTTAGTGCCATGGTAGTTCCTCTGTTTTGGCTTTTCTGCTGTGCTTCCATGCGTTACGATGTTAAGCCATTTGCTTTGGAAAAAAACGCAACCATACAAATAAACAAACGCACATGCGTTACCCAAAGCACGAACATATTCGAAAAATACGAGATTGTTCGCACCAAAATGATTAATGATGTTAATTTTTTTCGACATTACTCTTTGAACTTGGTTCTCTGCAAACACGATCATAAAAAGTGCGTATATCTGTGTAACTAAAACCGGTTTAAAAGTTTGAATTTGGCAACCCGAAGTTAAAAAAACTC